CGTGCAGACACACACACACACACACGACTGCCCTGGTGACAGAAGATACAGAGAAGGCAGTGATACTGAGTGTCTTCCTTGGATCTGCCTATGCTATTGGAGGCTGTCCTGAGGAGCCCTGTACCCCTGAGGCCCCAGAGGAAGTCAGGATCAAGGAGGAGTTTGCCTCAGTTGATGAGGACTGAGTTAAGGAGCAATTAAACAATCTGGACATCCATAAATCCATGGGTCCTGATGGGATGCACCCATGGGTGCTGAGGGAGATGGAGGAAGTCATTGTAGGCTGCTTTCCATTATCTTTGGTAAGTTGTGGGGAATGAGAGGGGTGCCTGAGGACTGGAAGAAAACAAACGTCACTCCAGTCTTCAGAATGGGCAAGAAAGAGGACCAAGGTAACTATAGGCTGATCAGCCTCACCTGGAAAGGTGATGGAAAAGCTTATCCTTGGCATTGCCTCTAGGCATATCAAGGATAAATGGGTCATTAGGGGCAGTCAACGTGGCTTTAACAAGAGGAAATCATGCTTGACCAACCTGATATCTTTTTATGAATACATAACCAGGTAAATAGATGATGGTAAAGCAGTGGATGTGGTCTATCTTGATTTTAATAGAGCATTTGACACTGTGTTCCACAGCATCCTCGCAGCTAAACTGAGGAAACATGATCTGGATGATCAAGTAGTTAGGTGGGCTGTGAACCAGCTGAAGGAAAGAAGCCAGAGATTTGTGGTCAGTGGGACAGAGTGAGTCTAGTTGGAGGCCTGTAGTGCCTCCAACTATTCTAGTGGAATTCCTCAAGGATCGGTACTGGGACCAGTGCTATTCACTATATTCATCAGTGACTTGGATAAGGGAGTAGAGTGCGCTGCTAGCAAGCTTGCTGATGACACAAAACTGGGAGGAGTGGCTGACACACCAGTAGGCTGTGCTGCCACCCAGCAAGACCTAGACAGGCTGGAGAGTTGTGTGGGGAGAAATGTAATGAAATACCACAAGGGCAAGCATAGAGACTTGTATCTGGGCAAGAACAATGCCAGGTCCCAGTATAGGTTGGGGACTGACCTGTTGGAGAGCAATGTAGGGGAAAGGGACCTGGGGGTCCTGCTGGACAGCAGGGTGACCATGAGCCAGTACTGCAAGAAGGCCAATGGCATCCTGGGGCATACTAGAAGGGGCATGTTTAGTAGGTTGAAAGAGGTTCTCCTCTCCCACTCTGCCCTGGTGAGACCGCATCTGGAGTATTGTATCCAGTTCTGGGCCCCTCCGTTCAAGGCCAGGAAACTGCTTGAGAGAATCCAGCGCAGAGCCACAAAGATGATGGACTGGAGCATCTCCCTTACGAGG